GTTTTCGAGGAGAACATTTTCTCATTCAACAACTCTTTTTGGGCTTTTTAGTAAACCAGAAATTGTTTTTATGATAAAAACAGAATTTCTGATAAATGCTTTCAAGATTTCAGGCCAAGCCAATTAGTGTTCGTCTTATAAAGCAGTGATTCAATCGCTACAGCCATTCAGTTTCAATTCTCCCTCCCATTCAAGTCCGTGTCCTTGTTTTCAAAGTGTATGATTTGTTTTTGAGCTGGCTCTTAGCTTGGTTTGCTTACTAACAACTTTGCAAATCCAAAAAGTAAAAGAAAAAAGTAAAACGGTCGACTCGAACTAGAGAGTCTTCCCTTGCTTTGGCTTTTTATTCTAACTCACTACCACCCTGCCATCACTGTTTCATAAAGTTCTTTGAAAGCTGCTTATAAGCTCGGCATGGTTTTTGAAATCCTATACAAAACTTTGCACACTTATAACTTTTGACAGAGTGCTTCATAGCAGAAACGGGAAAAAGATTCGGAATCAGCGCAAAATTCTGCGTCAAATAGTATATGGCTCATGTCATTTGGCCACCTCAGACTGGTGACCTACTCTTGTAAGTCAAGACCTAGACTTTGACTTGGCCAGTCAAACGTTATTTGATAATATTTGATAATTGAAATAATGAACCGAATCCTGCTTCTTATCATTCAAAAATAGGGAAAAAAAGAAAGCAAGGAGATAATCGAAAGCATTGTCATTATTCGCTTTACTAAGTTCTTGGAATCCTGCTAGCTGGCGTATCCAGTTCTAATTAACTAATCTGAAAAAGTTTCTACAAATTTACCATTAAGATCATTCCATCAAAAAAAAAAACTCAAGACCAATTCAAGTGTCATGAGGTCCATTTTTTGGATGATTCATTACAACTCAATCCATCAAATACGCTCAATTCCCCGTTTACCCAATTTCCCCCACTTTTCCTTCTATTCATCCCAGAAAATCCTCTATTTTTCAGGTTTTTTGAAAAGAAAACAAATGTGGGTAAAGTTTCCGGGTTTATTTTTTGAATACTTGATCCAATCTGGACGTCACAATCTTTTGTTTAGTTTTAACATGTAAACAAGAGATGCGTCTTTGGTTTACTTGATTAAAATCTGCGTTTTTGAAGAAATCTGGCTCATTTTATCTGCTAAATTCCTCAAATTTGTTAACATTAATCCTGGAAAACAAGAATTTTTCAAATTTTTCATTCTACGTGCAAATGATTCTTTAAAAATATCTTCGAATATCAAATTTCAATCTTTTCTTTCGCTTTTTCCTTTCTGAATGACTTTTTCTTTTCTTTTTTTCATCCCAAAATATCGCTTCACTAATCTGTAGCCATTTCTTTATAAGAAATCTTTTTTTTTCTTTTTGCTGACTTTAAATGACTGACTGATATCATCAAAATCTGAAAATAGACTCATTTTCCACAAATAACACCAGATTGTTGGCAAAATACTTAACGATTCATAGAGTTTTTGACTCTTTTTCTGATAGAGAAGCTTTAGAACTTTGATCTTTTACTGAAAATTTGATCTGTTACTGAAAACTTTGATCTGTTACTGAAAACTATTCACTATTTTGAAAGAAAGCAAAAGAAAGAGAGAAGCTTTAAAAGTAAGTTTTCAATTTCTTACACTTCAATGTCTTACACTTCAATATCTTACATTAAACACTCCAAACCTCTAAATTTTTCCTCTGAGCAATCCTTTTTGTGCTTTGACTCATTTCTATGATAGAAATGAAAGAATTAGTGCTTAATTTCATTCATTTTGAATGAAATTTTCATTCCCAATTTTCAGAAACGATGTGGTTGCGTCTGCTCTCGCTCTTGGCCCTTCTCATGGTTCTCACCATATCGGCGCTGCCCGTTTTGGTGTTCGAGTTGCCCGAGCGATTTCTCACGCACTCACAGGTTGGTAATAATAAAAGAAAAAAACGAAAATACGGCTTTTAATCTACTCCCTTGATCTAATCTAATCAAAATCCAAAATCTCATTTTTGCTTTGTCAAAAGTCAAGTCATTTTAGTTGCCAAACAACTCCAAACTGGGCAAACTAGGGCAAACTGGCTCGTGACTTTATCTAATCTAAATCTTAGTTTAAATTTTGACTGATTGATCGCATAGTAGTCGAAAATACTGTGGTGGACTGAGCCTGATTAAATTGAGCTAAATTCAGTCAAATTCTTTAGCTTTTTTAGCAAAATTCAGTCAAATTTTGCTGAACAGCCAATGCTAAATCTTGAAAAAGTTGCTAAATCAGTCAATTTTGCAAAGATTTTGCTTAATCGTTTTTTCGTAAGCTTTTCGTAGGCTTTCGTATCTGCATTTCCTTTTTATTAAACTCTAAACAGATTTAGGTTCAAAATACTCAGCAAAATTGCAAAATTGACCGATTTAGAAACTTTTTCAAGATTTTGCATTGGCTGTTCAGCAAAATTTGACTAAATTTCTAACAAAATAAAATATAAAAGATAAAATAGAGCTAAAAATTGAACTTTACTAAATGCTAAATTCATGTTTTTGTTTTGGTGAAACCGGGCCCCAGCTTTCCAATGTTCTGACCCGTGAAGCTTTTTATTTTACATACTTTTCGTGAAATTTACAGACAATTTAGTACCAAAAGGAGAGTAAAATGATGAAACCGATGACGTTGATCTTTTTGAAAGATCACATGCAACACGATGTGACGCTTTTGCTTTAGGAAATCACCGATATGAAAAAATTCCAACCTAAACCTAATTTCACCATCGTTTTCTTGACCGTTTCTTGGCCGATTTCTCTGCAATTTTGTTTATAAGCTGAAAATGTTGATTTCTAATGAAAAGCCTTTAAAACAAAGGTTTTCAGAAACTTTCAAAAGTCATTTGAAAAAGAAATGAGAAAATTTCAGAGGAAAACGAAGGTAGAATTAGGTTCGAGTTGAAATTTTCCCATTTCTAGGCTGTCCTGGCCTCTAACCTTAAAATATTAGGGGACGGTTTTGAACTCTTAATTAAAGCTGAATCATCTTTCGAAGGGGGGATGTGAATTTGGTTCTTTCTCGTATTTGGTTCTTTTTATTTGAAATTTGAAAATCAACCTCTTCCGAAGATTAGATTGTTCTGAAATTTTGGGAAACTATATAATCGATGAAGCGTTTTATTTTGCCACTAAAAAGTATGCATCAAAATATAATAGCTCATGAATGCTAGAAACCAGGATTTTGAACTCTTACATTAAAATCCCTGAAAAACTTCTAAAATAAAACATTTTTCGAAAATTCAAAAAAGCCATTTTGTAGATTAAGGATAGGGCTTTTGAATCAAGCAAACCGTTTTTTGATTGGATAAGCCATTTGATTGGATAAGCCATTTGATTGGATAAGCATGTTTCAGAAAACACATTACCCAAAAACGATCGTTTATAACTTGCCCACCTAATAATTGAGGAGTCGAGGTGGGCTAGACTAGCCTTTGAATGTTCCAATCAATCTCTAGGGTCTAAGCTATGTGAAAAGCTGAAAAAATGAAATCTAATTTCAGTTGTCACCGAACGCTTTCCCACTCTACAAGCGAAACATCGCCATCGGACGGGGCGACGGATTTCGACCGGGAAAATAGAGGAGAGGAAAAAATCGATTAAAGAAAAAGAAAACAACAACAAATAAGACTGTAAATACCAGTTTCTGCATTTATTTGGTCTAAAGTAACTAAATTTCAAAGAAAAAAACCAAATCCAACAACGATTCCATCCTCAAATCGATCTCTTTTTTTCCCCAGCTTTTCTCCGATTTTCCTTTTGATTCGCTTGTGGCCTTTCCCACATTATTTTCCCAATTTTTAGCAAATTTCCCTGCTTTTCGAATTTCCTTTGTAAAAAATGACTGATCGGGGTCTGTTGTGGTGAAAATTTCCTAACTCTTTCCTCTAAAAATCGATCTCTTTCTTTCTTAAAGTTTAAAGTTTTCCCAAATTTCTTACTTTGCGTTTTGTGTTGCTCGTTCTTGCGTAAAATGATTCTTTTGTTTCCTTTCGTCTCTTCGTCTCTTGTCACAAATGAAAAGATTTTTATTTTACATACTTTTTGTGAACATTTACAGACAGTTCAGTACCAATAGGAGAGCAAAATGATGAAACCGATGACGTTGACCGTTTGAAAGATCACATGCAAAACGATGTGACGCTTTTGCTTTAGGAAATCACCGAGTCGGAGTCTAAAATGATTGATTCACTTATTCTAAACTGTTTCCAAAGTCATAAAGTCTTGTTTTAGCCTGGCTAAACTTGCGACTTGAGTCTTATTTTTATCTAAAAGTCGTAGTCTAAAATCCAGCAAAGCGAATTATAGCGACAACTTTTTGGAAAAGTAGCTGGGAAATGTCTAATTTATTTCAAAAGTGGCAAGTGTTATATAGAGAATTGTAGCCCGAATTCTCCGCAACATTTAGCTACCAAAAACTTCTCGGTTGAACTTATAGAACTCATTTAATAAGTGCTTGAATGAGCGCTGGTGACATCTCTCCGGCGAATGTCATTTGGCCGCTTTTCTCTATTAAAAATTGTTAAGAAAACCTTTTCAATATTTCTTCAATGCAAAAATCGCGTTTAACATCACTTAACAACGTTAAGAATTACACTTAACCGTTTTGGCTGAATTGGAATGACCAAAATTTAAGTTGATGTCAAGCTCCTTCTGAAGGAGTCGGGAAAAAGGTGACTAGCGCTCATTCAAGCACTTATTAAATGAGTTCTATAAGTCCAACCGAGAAGTTTTTGGTAGCTAAATGTTGCGGAGAATTAGGGCTACAATTCTCTATATAACACTTGCCACTTTCAAAATAAATTAGACATTTCCCAGCTACATTTCCAAAAAGTTGTCGCTGCAATTTGCGGTGACCCTGTCGAGTTGATCTGGGTTACTTCAAAAGCCATAAATTCTGTATTAGACTTGCTTTAGCAGTTTAGCTTAACCGTTTAGCTTTTTTAGAAATTTTTCTATCAGCATTTTTCTTCTATTCTACTGACCGTAGATTGAAAAAGAAATCGTCGGTCATCTTTGCGCATTTCTCCATCTCTCTTCGCTCTTGACAGAAAGCGACGACGAAAACCGAAGCAAATGCGGTGATTCCAACACAGACAACAACGTAAATACCTAGAAAAGTATAACTGATTTTGCTTTAAACTCTTTTATGCTTTCAATTTTACCTAACAAAGGGAAAGTCGACGTTTTTGGAATTGCCCCGGAGACCATATCGATGAGAACAGTCATCGAGATGAGACTCGTCAAACCGATACTTAACTGAAAAATTTGTTAAGTTGTGTTCTGTTTTCATTGCAGACTTTGGCAATTTGCTCCTCTCGGCAATTCGGTGTCCAGAACATTCCGATAATTGATAGAAGTGTCAAGATGAAGCAAGGGATCGCGATCACATAAATGTAGTAATGAGGAACGCGATTCATTCGGATTGTGAAAGCTAACTGAAACATGAGAGAAAGTTGAAGATTTTGAAGATTTTGAAAACACAAACACAAAAGAGACAATACTTTCAATTCAGATCGTATTGTTTTCTTAATTTAACTGTAGGATTTAACTGCTTTTTAAATGTCACAATGGTTTAATCGGGATCTAGAATTTGTCCCAAAAAAAAGCTGAATTCAAGGCAAAAATTGATCCTAAGGATTTGGGAATTCGATTCGATAAGAAGCTAGATCAAAAATCAGATCTTGAATACCATAAGAACTCACCAAGTCCATCATCTCAGCCCCAGCTCCATAAGTGCTCGTCTCAACCGTCACATTGATGATCTCCCATTCGCCGTTGCTCTGTAAAACTCGAAAATAGCTATAGTTGCTAAATTTTGATTACCTGAGGCACGAGTTTCTCATAAATATCCCCGGACATTGAAACGTATTTGCTAAAATTACATTCACGAGCATTCTTTGTAACCAACTATCCATAGGTGAAAACCATGAATGCTACTTGACAAATTTGATGATCAAAGGGAAATGTGGCTACCTAAATGGTTTTATGATAAACACGATCATATTATATCATTATATTCTTATTTTACAATTACAATACAAACTTACAACTCTTACAAACAAATATAATACAATAAAATATTGGGTTGTCCAGTTATGAATGCGCGTTTTTACTATTTTGTAAATTTCTCAAGATATCGAACAGATGTATATGAGTGTTATATATCATTCGAAAGCTGAACATCTCCTCTACATTTTGATATAAAAAGTTTTTGAATTTGTTCAACTTTTGAGCAAATTGACTGCACAAAGGGAGAAGTCGTTTTCGAAAAAACCCATTTCAGGTTAGCTAGCCCTCAAGTTTTATACTGTAAAATAACCGCCCAGAAAAGAAAAGAAAAGTAAAGATGCTCTGAAATTGTTATATTTTAAAAAAGGTTATATTGATATATCTATTGGCCAAACATCAAACGGTTAACTCAATTTGAGCGCAGCCAAAACTTGATCCAAAGGCACCCTTCCATTTTTTGGCCACCTCTGCTTCTGTGCAGTCAATTTGCCCAAAAGCTGAACAAATTCAAAAACTTTTTATATCAAAATGTAGAGGAGATCTTCAGCTTTCGAATAATACTCATATATATCTTTTTCTTGATTTCGGTAACTTGAGAAATTTACAAAATAGTAAAAAAACGCGCATTCATAACTGGACAACCCAATACAAATCCAATTCTTACAATACAATAGAATACTCAAAATCTAGCACGACCACAGTGGAACTTACTCGAACATTGCAAGAAGTTTCGGCATAATAAAGAAATGGAGCACGAACGGTGCCATTATATGAAATCTGAACGGTTCGTTGCTGATCCGGGTGCACCAATTGGAGATTTTTGCTGAAAACTTGAATGCTTATAAAAAGTTGAAATCACAATCACTTCTCACATGACTTTAATCATGGTTTCTATCATTTTCCTTTTTATGGTTAGTGTCTGAAACTAAACCAAGTCTACTAAACCAATCAATCAACCAATTAAAAGGTGTTCAAGAATTGTGAAAACCTTGTTCTCCACATGAAAAAAATGATAACCCGTTTTCTCACTCACGCATCACCGATCTCGTTCTCCGGAAACCAAACCGAGTCGACATTTGTCCACATTTGCTCGATTCCCGCGTAATCTTGCGGATCCCAAGCAAGCCGCAAATCTTGCCACGTGAAAATCACCTCTATGCACAAACTAAGAATCTGACTTTGAGCGTCCTAAAGAATCTTCAGTGGCGATTATTGGTTGAACAAACCAATTCGAATATCCTCAAATACCAAAGCAAGATATTGACATTGAAGCGTGAGACGGGACTTTCTAAAGTCATTTAACTATTTGATTTTTCTTTAAAGAATAAAAGATTCTACTTAAACTTGAGTGCATAGAGTGCGTTGCAAAATGTTAGGATCACCCTCGATTTTCCATTTTAAATAACTAAAAATGCAAAACGGCGCTTAAATTCTAATTTTATTTACAAAAGTACGCACAAATACCGTTTACGAAATCATTTACTTTAAAAGCCACAAATTTTTCAATCATTTCTTTATTTGCAAAATGATACTACTTTCTTTATACGTTTCTTTTTCATTTTCTACCTGTAATAATTATTTTTGCTTTTTCTATTTCTTTTTCAAACTAATTTTTATTTTTTAGGAAGATGGGATGTGGAAAATCGCTTTCGCGGGTCGAACAGATGAAAATTGCGATTTTTGATGGAAGAAAGTTGTCGAGTCGGAAGGTTGCAAAGAAAATGAAGCGCTCGCATCAAGTTGTTGCAAATTTCTTGAAGGAACCTTTCAATTATGGCAAGAAGAACTCTCCGGGATGTTCTCGAAAGCTCACGGTCCGCGCTCAACGGCATATTGGACGTCTGTTGTCGAATTCGGTGATGGCTACAGGACGTCAAGGCAAAAAAATTGGAGCTCCCGTTCACAAAGAATTGCATCACAAAGAAATCTCAAAGAAAATGAATCACCCGCACCAAGTTGTTGTAAATTTCTTAAAGGATCCTTTCAATTATGGCAAGAAGTTCGCTTTCGCCGATTGGACGGAGAAAATTACGATTTTGAAAGGAAGAACGTTGTCGAGTCGGAAGGTTGCAAAGAAAATCAAGCGCTCGCATCAAGTTGTTGCAAATTTTTTGAAGGACCCTTTCAATTATGGCAAGAAGAAGTCTGCGGGATGTTCTCGAAAGCGCACGGTCCGCGCTCAACGGCATATTGGACGTCTGTTGTCGAATTCGGTGATATCGCTACAGGACGTCAAGGCACAAATTGGAGCTCCCGTCCACACAAGCACTCTTTCTCGAGCCATCAAGTGTTTGTATTTCTAGGATTTAAGAGCTATTTACCGTTATTATGTTTCATAGCCAAAAAATGTAAATTTAGGAGTGATCCTATCATTTTGCAACACGCCTTATATCTATTGGGTTGATGAATTAAAAACTGCCGGCTATTGTCATATGTGACAGTTTGAGCACTTTCTTCAAAAGAAACCCATTTTGGTGTCAATGGAAAAGTTGTAGAGAATCAAAAACTAAGCCTATATCCAAATTTTCAGCACGATTCAAAAACTGGTTTTCAGGAAATGCCAAATTTACGAATTTTCACAAAACTTGCATTTTAAGCGAAACTACTAAGTGTATCTTTTTGAAAATTTGGCTATAAGCCTAATTTTTGATTCTCTACAACCTTTCCATTGACACCAAAATGGGTTTCTTTTGAAGAAAGTGCTCAAACGTCCTCCAGGGACATCTCCAGTCCTCGATTTTTGAGTCTCACACTTGTCTCACACACAAACCAAAATCCTACTACGAAAGAGGAATCCGCAAATTGCCTGTAAAATGAGCAGAAGTCGTCAATAATAATGAAAATTATTTGGAATGAATTGATGGTTTTATGTTGGATAAATTTTAGTTCAAAGTCCCGTAGTTTTCAATTCACCAATCCAATAATTAAATAGTACTTAAATTAAATAGTACTAAACTTTTTGAATTCAACACCAACCTGTAAAATTGTCGGGCATTCTCTCGAAAACCGGCGATTGATTCTTGTTGTAATTTCTTGTCGTAAAAATTTCATTGTAGAGTTTTGTTGAATTGTTCAGAAAATCGGAATAGATTGCTGGAAAATATTTAAGTTTTACAAGTTGAACTTCAGTAAATTATAGAAATAGTAACGTTTTTTTATCAATTTATATTGATTTCTTTTTCCAACTCACCATTTCCACCAAATCTCGTGTAATCGATCGTCTGCGCCGCACTTTTTACCACAAAAATCTCAATCAGAAGAAAAAGAAACATTTCACTTAACAAAGAAACTGAAAACTTTCGAAAATTCGTCGACAGACTTTTCTCGATAAAATAAATTTAGACGGAAAGCAAAAAGAATTGATTAAGCAGGTGGCCTTTCTGAGAAAAAAAGGGACAAAACTCCACAAGAAAGCTTTTATGAGATGTAAAAGCTTTTTTGCTAAAGTTAGTCAAGTAAAAAGAATTGTTTGTAAACTAGATGTTATCTAAAGTTTTTATTGTAAAATAAAACACAAAATCGGCTTCAAAAAGTCATCAAAAATTCCTTCGAAAAGCGTTTGGTTGGAACAAGAATCATAAAGTTATTTTGCATTTTGATTTGAGTCATTTTTTGCAGTTTTTTTAGACAACAATGCTTATTTTTAATTAAAATGTCCAAAAGCAGCAAAATGACAAGCCTTTTATTTTTAATTTTAGAAAATATGGTTGTACCCAGCCTTTTTCTTGCAATCACCTCTTTTCTAAGAACTCTACAAATTACTGGGTTGTCAAGAAAATCTCTGTACATCTTTTGGTCAATAGTTTCTAGAAAGTAAAATCATGAATTGTAGACAAAGCAAACACAAAGTTTAAATAAAACTTGAAGTTTTTAATAGAACTTTACAAACATTGCCATATTTGAAGTAAACCGGGCCAATTTGAAGTAAACCAATGGCCAATGGGCCAATGAATTATTCCGGATATTCGAATCAGCCAAAAACCCTTTTTCCGTAGCAGAAAGGGGACATTTGTTGAAATTCGAGTTAGCTTTTCACTCACTTCATTTGGTAAACATTTCGTTTGTGGTGTTTGACAACGTTTTATTGACTAACATCTTTTTCTTTGTTAACAATGAAAATCTCTAAGAAATTGTGAACATTTTACATTAGTTAAACTACTGTTAAGCAAAGAAAAAACATTAAAAACACAATTTTAATCCATCAAACGAGTCCAGTAAGATATGAAAAAAAGAAAAGCTAATAGATTGAGTACTTGGAAAAGGATTTGAAAGAAGACGTGCTGCGAGGTGAGCAAATCGAAGAGTTTCGAGCAGGTTGACCTAGAATTTCTGGTCTTTGTTTTAAAATTATTGACTCCTGACATAAATCTAGATCATAGATCAATCTATCATAGATCATAGATCTTTTTCATACCTTTCCTTTTTGCACTCGACATTCTTGAACATCCGTGTAACATTTTCTTCTTTCTCTTTGTGTTTTGTCGTGCATCCAACAACCACCACACAGGCTACAGAGGTGATCACAACACTGACAACCACATAGATTCCTGAAGAATTATTTTAGCCTTTCGAGTACAGTCAAACTTTGATATAACAAACTTCGCTACCACGAATTTGAAATTCTAAAGCGTGCTCGAAATTGCCAAATGCAAATGCAAAATGCAATTATTGGCCGTCCAGGGCAGCTATGCAGAAAATTGGGATGAATGAAATTGTTGGCAAAGGGAAAGTTGATGGCTTAGGATTACAGTTTTAGTTCAATAGATGCAAAGCAACTATCGTTTCTTAGACTTCAGAGAAACTAACTACAGTCGAACTTCGCTGCAACAAATTTGAAATTCTAAAACGTGCTCAAAATTTAGCTGCCCCAACCAAATGCAATTATTGGCCGTCCAGGGCAGCTATGCAGAAAATTTGAGGCACGTTTTTGATTCGTTATATCGAAGTTTTCGGTCCCGATATCCGGTCGATTTTTTTATATCGAAGTTCGACTGTATTCCAAAATTATCCATCCCTAAACTAGATTTTAACAAATAAGATTCAGAATGGAAAGCAAGGATTGGCTGGCTTTGTTTGGCTTGGATTAGATCCATATTGGAACCGTATTGGAACCGTATTAGATCAAAATAGGAACCGTATTAGAAACGTATTGGAACCGTATTAGATCAGAATAGGAACCGTATTGGAACCGTATTGGCACCGTATTGGATTAGATCCATACCCAGTAGAGGAAATTGTTCCGTTTTTGGAATCGCTTGAGAAACCATGTCAAGAAGGACGGTGATCGAGACGAGACTCGTCAAACCGATACTCAACTAGAAAATGTGTACATATTATATTTTCAAAAGGTTTTAAATCAAACTTTAGCCAACTGCTCTTCGACGACATTTGGTGTCCAAAACATTCCCACAACACCGAGAAGTGTCAGAATGAAACAAGGGACAGCGATCACGTAGATATAGAAATGGGGAACCCGGCTGAGATGGATGTGAAAAGCTAGCTAAAGTTCAAGTGTTGAGAAATACTAGTTTTAAGAAAGGAAAGATACAGTCAGGTGGCCTGTAGAAAGGTTTGAGTGAATTATCGTCTCTTTCTTTTGTAGATTTCTAATTTCTCTATTTTTTTTTACTAAATATCAATTTGTAAGTAAATTTATCAAAAAGAAATCATTATCGAACGCGCTCATCATTTTGAAAGTGATACTCAACTCAAAATTCAATTCTCCTCAATTTTAAATGCATCCAATCAAATTTAAACCAGCAAACGGTTTAGCTCAAGACACATAACCGAATTCATTTGCCAGATCTCGTAAAATATCATCCTTAACTTTACTCTAATCATCTTCACCAACCACATCCATTCGATAGGGTCCATCCGGTCCATAATGGTATCGATCAACACTCACATTTGTCACCTTCCATTCTCCATTTCCCTAAAGATCAATACTGCTTTATGCTCAAATTTTCTCCTCACCGCATAGTCGTAATCGAAAAAAAGGTTTTGCCCGGTCATTGAGATGTATTTCCTAAAAGAAATCAGCTTTTCATTTAAGAAATAAACCTACCATTCATAAGAAAACGCCATGTAGCCAATCTCGCACATTTGACGATCAAACGGGAAAATGCTCACCTAGAATATTACAATGAATTCAATTTTAAAAGAAAACAAACAAAACTAGACTAACGGGTTTTCTAGAATGTTTTGCCGACTTTTGGACTTTTGGACACCAAATTTGAGAATCAAAACAATCAATTACCTTTATTGCCAATTTTTGTTGTAAGGCATTTAACCTGTTAACTGAATAGCTTTAAAGTTGCTTTGTTTAAGTATTTGTTTCCAGAATTTCGAGTCTCTTTTCTCATTCATTAAAAGAAATACACTTCTTGCAAGTTGAATTGTTTGTTGTTTTCTATTGTTGTTGTTTTCTATTGTTGTTGTTTTCTATTGTTGTTGTTTTCTATTGTTGTTGTTTTCTATTGTTGTTGTTTTCTATTGTTGTTGTTTTCTATTGTTGTTGTTTTCTATTGTTGTTGTTTTCTATTGTTGTGGTTTTCTATTGTTGTTGTTTCTGTTGTTTTCATTGTTGCTTTTGTTTGTTTTCTATTGTTGTTGTTTGTTTGTTGTTGTTTTCATAACTATTGTTTTCAAATTGATTGGTCAAATTACAAATCAATTTAGAGTTTAGAAATTTGTCGATTCTTGATCACATATCACGATCAATTAAAGAGAAAACATCTTCGATAAAAGATAAAAGCGCGGATAAAAGATTGGAGAGGAAAAAGTCCTCGTACAAACCAACTTTTGGAAAGCCAATTCATTATAAACGTGTCAATTTTTGAAAGTTACCGTCCTATCAGAGTTGAGAAAAGCTTTTGAAAGCTGACGACAACGTGAAACATCTAGAAAAACTCGTGAAACGACTAAGAAGCCTTTACACGAGAACCAGAACAAGGCCATTTCTCACATTCATCGTGCAGGATACTTCCGAGTAGTAGATATTGGCCATTCGGATTGTCCCATCCGCGTGCACAACAACTGTTCGCGTGTTATCCGGATACACCAAATCGAGCGCTCTCCTAGAGCGCTAGTTTTTTACGATAGTTTTTTTCAACAAAAATTATGCAGCGCTTAAAATCAAAGACCAAAAATCAAAAATCTCACTCACGAGTTCCCAATCTCGTTCTCTGGCACCCAAACCGCGTCGATATTCACCCAAATCTTCTCAATATTACTGTAGTTTTTCGGATTCCATGCAAGACGGGGGTCTTTCCATTCCTTAATGGTTCAATTCCCAAAAAAAAAGAGAAACTTTTTTTACCAGAATCGTCTCCAAGCAAGAGCTCATGACTTGCGTTTCGGCATCCTGAAAGAAGATTTAATAAATAAGCTCTTTAGCATTCTCTCTTACCAATGAGAAAATCTTCAAATAGGTGAGATCAATCTTTACATTAAAACGAGGCGTTGAACTTTCTGAAAACAAAATTCAAATTCATTTTCCCAACACTTGCAAACTCTCAAAATCCTCCGGCATTCGTTCATAGATCGGTGAGAGGATTTTGTTGTAGATCCTCGTCGTGAAGAGCTCTTCATACAAGCCATTCACCGCATTCAAGTAATTTGAATATTCAGCTAAAATAGGAAAAGCATAGAATTGATGAGGTTTAACAATGGATTTCCTTTTTCTAGTTTTGTTATCTAGTGGGGACAAGGGCCGATTCATATGCTACAGGGCTAGTTCTAGAACCAATTTCCAAGCTAGAGAGCAACTATGGTCTGATCCTAAACATATTGGAAATATCCTGGCCTGATCTGGGCTGATCTTAGCCTGGATTTGGCCTATCCTTGACCCTTTCCATGCTTGCCTGAAATAAACTGATCTGGATTACGTAGTCTAGTCTTGGCCGGGCTCTGCACTCACCCTGCCCTGCTAGACCAATTCAATGGTTCAATGGACCAATTCAATCCTGTTAGACCAATTCAATGGTACTGGTAAACAGTAAGGAATAACGCCCTAGTAGCGGCAATCGAATATGCGTCGGTGTAGCTCATTGGTAGAGCGTTTGCCTGGTTGCCGGTTCAAATCTCGAACTGATCATTTTTTGTATTCCCAGCCATAGCCCAGACGTGTTCAAATATTGTGTTTAATCAAACAATTGTGTTTCACATTCCGAAACTTTCAATAAAGTTGAATGCAAATTTGAAACATTTAGAATTTTTCATTTTCAAGTGTTTAAATTTCAATTTGTTTGTGAAAATCAATTTTAATTTTGAATCAATCTTTACCTGTTTCCCCATATTGTGTCAAATCCAGCTCAGAATCGACCAAAGAAACTACCAGAAAGAATGTAAAAACCGAAAAAAGTGACATCTATCCATTCATTAATGAAATAAATTCTCCATTTTCACACTTTTAAAAATTCTCACTTTTCACTTCTGAGATTTGATCTAGTTATCCGTAAATTTTCTTTATTCACGGAAATGAAAGAAAAGCGCATGGTTCACTGCAAATTCAATCGTTTCAATTTGCGGCTTTGTGGCCACAGTTTGCGGCTAAATTTGTCGCAGACATGAATACGGTGTATTCTAAAATTTCATTTGAGTTTTTATTTCAGCTTTCAGCGTGATAAAGAACAATCAATTTGTGTACCAAATCTAAAAATGAAATGACAAAAAACAGAAACAAAACAAATATGGACTATTAAAGAAGTCTATTAAAGAAGACTTTCAGAATTAAAAGGTTATTCAATTCTATAGAAATCAAAGCCAAAAGAGATCTTGATTTTTATGGATTTGCATAATCAAGCTCTATTTAGAAGCTAGATTGAAACTAGATTGAAACTAGATTGAAACTTTGAGTTAAACAATCTTTATCGATATTTACACACATAATATTGTTTTCGTTTACAAGTTGATCTCGGGAAGCAAACAGATTGGAGCACAACTTCAACAGTAAAGATTGTTTCGTCAGACCACACGACATCCTCAATGGGAGCCATTTTGAGTGGCAGGAAGATAATCGATATGTACTTAAAAATGTTATGACAAAAAGCAGAGGGAAAACAAATTTGGACTCTAGTCGATTAGACTTTCGGAATTAAAGGATTATTCGATTCTATAGAAATCAAAGCCAAAAGAGATCGTCTTATCTTGATTTTTATGAATTTGCATAATCAAGCTCTATTTAGAATCTAGATTGAATCTAGATTGAAACTTTGAGTTAAATATGTTCTTTAGATCTGGGGGCATCAGTTGATGATGATTTTGTGGATTTTGAGCAACTTCAACAGTAAAGATTGTTTCGTCAAACCACACGACATCCTCAATGGAAGTAATTTTGAGTGGCAGGAAGATAATCTTATGTACCTATTAGCTTGGTAAATATGAAAGGTTATTTTTTTGATCATTTTTAACATAACAGAAAAATTTATTTAAGCACTTTCAAAATCAAATGTATTCACTACAAGCATTAATAACTTCTTTCCAACGTTGCCCCAAATCACGAATACCGTCCTCGTAAAATTGAAGATTTTTAGAGGCAAAATAGTTGGCAACCCAATTTTCGATGTCCTGCTTTTGTTTGAACTGCTGTCCAGAAACTGCTTGTTTCATTGATCAAAAGAGATGGTAATCCGATGGGGCTAGATCAGGGCTGTATGGTGGGTGTGGAAGAAGTTTCCAGCTCAACTTGTCGATTTGTTCGTGGACGATCTTTGAAATGTGCGGCCTAGCATTGTCGTGAAGAAATCTGACCTTTGATGGATCGATCCGCTTTTTCCTCAGTGCTCGATCGACTCCACCCAGTTGTTCTGCCTAAAAGTCTTCCATCAACAGTGTCTTCTTTATCTAATATTTCAAAATGAGCCAATCCCTTAGCATTCCACCACACACAAAGCATAACTTTTTCGGAGGCTTCGGGATAGAATGAGAGGTCTGCTTTGAACTCAGCCACTGTCCATAGAGTTGAATGTTTTCATACGAAAGCCAAGTCTCATCACATGAGACTTGGCTTTCGTATACTTCCAAACGTCGTTCAAAAAATACTTCCAAACGTCACGATGGCTAGCTTTACGTAGAAGAACAGAGCTCAAGGTGACTCGTGTGACTTTGTGGGTATCAGTGAGGTCGTGGGGGAGCCATTTCCCGCTTCGATATGATTTCCCAAGAACGTGTAAATGGTAACATGAGTGCATCCGAATTTTTCTGCTAATTTTCTACACTTTTGCGATGGATCCAAGTCAACCTCGTTCAGTAACAGCTGATCGTCCAAAGTAATCGGCGGCTTTCCATGTGGTGCATCTTCCAATGACTCGTTTCCCGTTTTGAAGCGATCGTACCAAACACAACATTGTTTGTAAGTAAGAGCAGCTTCTCCAAAACAGTACAAATGTTCTGATGGCAATCCGTAGCTTTCTTGTTTAACTTGAATTCAAAGAAAATGGCGGCCCTGATTTTAAATTTTTGGTTATCCATCTTTGCCGAGCTGAAACAATACAAATATTGTTCAAAACAAAAATGTTTTTGCAAAAAAAAACATGAGCACATTTTGACATATTATTGAGAAAAATCCTAGACAGGGAATGTTCTTCGTAACGACAGGGCAATATTTTTTGTCAAAAATAACCTTTCATATTTACCAAGCTAATAAAAATGTCATGACAAAAAGCAGAGAGAAAACAAATATGGACTCTAGTCTATTAAAGAAGACTTTCAGAATTAAAAGGTTATTCAATTCTATAGAAATCAAAGCCAAAAGAGATCTTGATTTTTATGGATTTGCATAATCAAGCTCTATTAGGTTGGTGCAAAAGAAATTTCGGTCGATATAAAATGTTCTTATTTTTTTAATTTGAAGAGCTTATTTGATGTTCTTTTGTGCATTTGTACTCTTGGATATTTACTTTATTTTCGCATTTTTTCAAAGTCAGAGCTTTCACTTTTAATTGATTTTTGCTTTAGATCATGGTGGATCAAAAGTATGTTCTGCGCACGTGTCTTCTCTATGACTTCAAAATGGGCAAAAACACTGCTGATTCACATCGTGATCTCTGTTCCGCCTTTGGAGAACAGGTTATCACCGAAAGATCATGCCAGCTCTGGTTTGCCCAATTCCGAGATGGTAATGAATCCCTTGAAGACGAATCGCATGGACATCGTGCCACAGCCATCGACAACAATGAATTGGAACAATTGATTGAAGCTGATCCGATGCAAACAACACGAGAACTTGCCAAACATCTCCAATGTGGTCATTCAACAATTGTACGCCATTTGGAAATAATTGGAAAGACAAATCGTAATGGACAATGGGTTCCACATCAATTGAGTGTTGAGAATCTGGGAGCACGCGTTTCGATCAGCCATATCTTGCTCCATAAGTCGAAAAGAAGCCATTTTTTTGAGAATATCTTGACGATGGATGAGAAGTGGATTCACTTTGATAATACTTCTCGAAAAAGGCAATGGCTGAGCAAAGGTCAAGCGCCAATTCCAACTCCAAAGCCGGATTATCATGGGCGCAAAGTGATGTTGTCTTGCTGGTGGAATATCAATGGACTTGTTCATTTTGAATTATTAGAGCCCGGAAAAACAGTCGATTGATCTTATTTTATTCAACAACTCAAGAAGGTTGACGAAATTTTGCGTGAAAAAGGCCTAAATCCCTCAACTATCAACTTTCTCCGTGATAATGCTCCAGCTCACACGGCAAAAACCTCTTGTAAGGAACTAGAGAAGCTAGGATGGAAGGTCTTACCACATGCGCCGTATAGTCCAGACTTAGCACCCTCCGATTTTCACCTTTTCAGATCGATGCAACATTGCCTTGAGAATTGCCAGTTTAAGAATGCAAAAGAAGTCGAAAATTGGGTGACCAACTACTTTGCATCACAGAATCAAGCGTTCTTTGAGAAGGGGATCCGCAATCTGAAGCAACGTTGGAGGGATGTCATAGATAATAATGGTGCTTATTGTTTTAAATAAATTGTTATCAAAAAAAATTTTGGATGACTTTAATGTTTGTAAAAAAACGAAATTTCATTTGCACCAACCTAGTATTTAGAATCTCGATTGAAACTAGATTGAAACTCTGAGTTAAACAATCTTTATCGTTTTCCTGAAAGCTGCAACTTTAAGAGAAGAGAAGAAGCTTGAAAAATGTAAAGCTATACCATTGAAATAGAAATAACTGAAACAAAAGAGCTTCTTTTCCTTATTTTCCGTCTGCTGAGCAGTAGGGCGATATTTTTTTACGTTCATAGTTTTTCAGTTATTCAAAGTCTCTATTGGGTCTTTATATTTGAAAAACTCTGGACGTATTAAACGTTTCTTTTCCTTTTTTCCATTTGCAATTATTAAAGAAGACTTTCAGAATTAAAAGGTTATTTAATTCTATAGAAATCAAAGCCAAAAGAAATCTTGATTTTTATGAGGCTTGAGAAACGGTAGAGATTTTTCGTTTTGTTGGCACTTTGCGATCCCAGAGAAACAGCACGTAGGACAGACTAAATGTGGATGAAAAGAACCAGCCAAAGCTTACCAGGGAATGTTGTTAACTTATCGTTGGCTTTTGACTCGGGAAATAGCCTATCTGATGCAGTTTTTCACGCTGATTCCGAATCTGCAATCAGTTTTTGCCAAACGCTTCTTTATCGCGAGTTATTTGGCATACAAGTTCTTGGGGTCTCTTTATGAGGGCGACGCACTGTCTTCATTCGACGGCCTTGGTGGTGTAGTGGTTAGTGCGCGTCTGCGTATGTTCTTTTGGACCCCGAGGTTTCGAGTCCTTTCAATGAAAATTTTTCGTTTTTTAAAGTTCTATTGTTTCCTATAAAGCCAAACCCGTCCCTGTTTTTCCGTCCCAAGAGACCCCAAGAACTTGTATGCCAAATATCTCGCGATAAAGAAGCGTTTGGCAAAAACTGATTGCAGATTCGGAATCAGCGTGAAAATCTGCATCAGATAGGCTATTTCCCGAGCCACGATAAGTTAGCAACATTCCCTAGTTAGTTACCTCAACAACAAGGTGCTTAACTGCCAAGTGACTGTGCTGACAATGAAAAATGAGACCGAATCACCCAAAAATAGTTGATATCCAGTGGCACCAGTCATTGCTAACAAATTGATGAAGAAATTTGTGACCATCTGAACAAATTGTCGATTGAATATGTCAATCAGAGTCGCATTAAAAAAGTACAATTAAAAGTCAATTGCATTTGTAATATAAAACTTACTTGTAAAGCCAATCTAAATTCCTTCTTGATAATGACAGCTTTTTGGTGGCTAGTGTTTGCTTCCTTGAAAACCCTCATTCTACGCCACATCATCACAAAAAGTGTCAAATCCAGTAGAGCTGTTACTGGAAAAGTGATGAAGCCTTGCAAAGTCTGAAAAAAAAGTTTCAAATCATTTTCAAAGCTCGTTCAAAATCACTATGAACTTGATTTTACGGGGGTGGGACAAATGCGACCTTTTTTTTGCGCACCTGGACATTTGCGCACCTTTTTTTTGCTGGAAAAGGCCTTAGGAAAAGTCGTAGAGCTTCAAAAACGTTTTCATAGAAGGGAATCGTATGCGTAGATTCAGAATTTTGACAAATCAGACCTCGCTGGCACGTCAAATTTGGGCTAAAAGGCAAAAACTACGCAACTTAACGCTTTTCCGCAGTTTGTGCCTTTTAGCCCATATTTTACGTGTCAGCGAGGTCTGATTTGTCGAAATTCGGAATCTACGCATACGGTTCCCTTATCTGGAAATATTTTCGAAGCTCTACGGCCTTGCCTAAGGCCTTTTCCAGCAAAAAAAGGTGCGCAAATGTCCAGGTGCGCAAAAAAAAAGGTAGCATTTGTCCCATCCCCGATTCTACACAACTCCGTGAAACCTTAGTCGCTTGTTTACAGTTGAAAGTCTTTTGACAAAGTCAGAGTTAGTCAGAGACAGAGTTAAGTCTATAAATTTTGAGTGCAAAAGTTGAAAATCAACTAACAGCAGCCCAGAACATAATCGTGTCGCTGCATTTTTCTTGAACGGTAAAAGTGTTTATGCCATAAGGTATGAAAACACAATTGCATCTGGCTAAAAGAGATTTGCTCGATATTCGTTCGAGATTCGGCAAACTTACTAGCAAATAGCACCAAGAACGTGACGCATGGTGGACCGATCATGAAAATATATTGCATGATTTTCGTTTTCTCAAATTTCTGGTAGTAAAGGCCTTTGAAAGAGATGGCCATTAGGCGATTGACTCCAAGAAAAAGCTGAAAAGAGAAATACCGTAAAAACTCCTTTTTTTTATTTTGAGCTTTTTATACCGTAACCAAAA